ATATGTATAATATCCACTATTCCTTAACCCCGTGACGTTTCACACAGAGGTCAAGGAATAGACGATAGGAATAGATGATGATTTTTGGACTATTCGACTGCAGATAGAAGCTGAACTGATGAAGGGATAAAGTGCAGGTGTACAGGAGGTCAGGTGGTTGCAGGTCTAATGGGAAACAGGTGGAACCAATGAAGCAAGAACAGGAGAAGAAAGAGAGGGAAAATAACAAGGACAGGAAGTGAAAATAGACACGAGGGGAAAAACGTTTCAAAATAAAACAGGAAACAGATCATGCCATCATGCCAGAGGTCAGCGGTACCTCATGGTGTAGAGCAGCGTGCCGTCATCCTTCAGCCTCAGCAGCTTGTTGGGGGTCGTCATGTTGTGAGCGATGGATTTCTTCCCGTTGAGGAAGAAGGTGTCCGGAGTCCAGATGTTACTGGCTAACAGATTATTGAGAGGAAGCATCTCCATCGGGCCTTTAAAGCAGAGACGCTCGTCCTTCCAGCTCTGACGGAAGAACACGTCGATGGTGTATTCCTGCGGGGAAATAGCAGCGATAAAATGTGTTTGGGATTAAACAAATTGTTTGTGTACACCGAGCGTATAAGAGAATGAACTACACCTTCCACATGTTTATTTTGATTTTTAAACACTAAGGCAAGATGTATCCTATCTAATTGAGGCAAGACTGTTTATTCATGCTGGACAATTTTTACATTTTGCTAAGAACTCTGCAAAGTGAACATAAAGGTTTTAAGTGAAATTATAGAGAATAAATACATTAATATACACATTATTGCACATAAACTACTTTTGATAGTCTCATTTATACACAATTGTATTACTACACATGCAGGGAATAGATTTTTAGCATCAAAATGTAGATTTTTTCAACAGAGTTGTATTGTGTTTGACGTAATGGCCTTAAAAAACAGATAGGGTTGTATTTAGTTAAACTATTCCCACCACATAACAGATTTATTTCAATACAAATTCTAAGTGTAGGTTGAGAGTGTAACTTCTTACCATTTCTGTGTCAGAGACGGGTCCGAAGCTTGTGACGAAGATGTTGGTTTTTATCTCCGTCACCTTCTCTGAAAAGAAGAAAGAGATAATATTGTGAGACTAAACTTAAAGGTCCCATGTCATGTTTTTCTGTTTATCACCCGTCCTCTTGTGTGTTATGTAGCTTGTTATGCATGTAAACGGTCTGCAGAGTTACAAACCCTCAAAGTACACCCTGTAGCGAGTAAAACTCTAACACAGAAAATACCTGTCTGTGCTGCCCCAGAACGCCTCGTTAGAGATGTCTCTTTTTCTTCCTGGGTACAGTGGCGTATTTGGGTATAGTGACGTAACGTAATGTAACGGCTCCGCGGATTGGTCCAAAAAGACCTATCCGCGGAGCCGTTACGTCAGAGCCGGACGCACGCGCACGCGCGCGCGCACACACACACACACACACACACACACACACACACACACACTCAATCTTTTCTCAGCTGCAGCTCCACCGATTTCTCAGCCTGAGACGGCGGGACGCAGCGAGGCTCTGAGTCTGTGTATGAGCACACACACAAACTCCCAGCCAGGCTGCTGGTGTGTGTGCAGGCGCGCCGTAAGGGGGTGAAAAGTTAGGACGATTCTAAGGGCCCGTGACTGACGGGGGTCCCAAAATGTTTAGAATATTAAGAAAACAATTTTTAAGTAACCTTTCATCAATCCTCAACAATTAACATTAATAGAACGTTATATTGATAAAGTACTCACTAAACTTACGATTCATTCAACTTATTTTCTTCCAAAAGTTAATTATCCAAAGCCTCTATACCCCTTCTATTTACATGTAATGGTTTGGTCCTGCCTCCAAACGCGGTGCGGCACCGCACTTGCAGAGAGTGAAAGCATGTGAGGAGGGACGCTAGTAGGCTACTTAGCCTACGTACGTGTGTTGTACCATGTCTCAACGACTCAAAAAGCCAGGCTCTAACGGTACGTCCACACAGCAGCTTTGAAAAAATCTTGAAAATCTTGGAGCTGGGCGTGTCTGAGAGCTTGGGGATTTTTGCGAGCAACGCGACCAACAACCAATCACATGAATATCCCGCCCCCGACATACAAAGCAAAACCCCCCGGTTCTTCTCCACTCAGAAAATGTGCAGAAAGGAGTATGACATTGTGTGCATTAATGTGATGAATATAGTCTATGATGTGGCAGAGGTAAAGTGTCAGCGGGAAGGGCTATGATGAACATGTATGAGATTAATGTCTATGGTGCTATTTTATGCTACATTCCATGCTTATGGAAAGTTTGAAGCGTTGAGTGATCAGTCTGTATTAGGTAAACAAAATGTTAATCACCGACATTTTGGTTATGATATTAATACTAATGTTATTATATTAAAGCAGGGGTGGGGAACCTCCGGCCCCCGGGCCGTATACGGACCGCTAGACCATTTGGTACGGCCCTCGAGGTAATTTATAAACAAAGTGGCCTGTGCCAATGTGATATATTTTCATGGGGCCCAAAATCCCTGGCGGCGCCCCTGTGTGTGTGCTCGGGCTGGTTTCAGGCTGGTTTCGGCCTGGGTTTCGCTGTGCTCACAGGGAGGGGGGGGGGCACGAGCTCCAACAAGCTCCAACAAGCCGTTTAGGACAGAGAGTGAATGCACATACTATACAGAGATGCTGTATGAGAAACCAATGTGAGTTTGGAAAATTTCACAATGTAAATCTATTTTAGTAGACTTCAACAATGGAATTATGATCAGTAGAAATGGCCATGACATGGGACCTTTAAACATGAATGCAGGTTTATGTTTTCGGTGACATTACAGGAATTAAATGAGGAAAGATTATACAACCCTGGATGGTTGCACATTAGGGTTAGGGTATTTGGAACTTTTGCCCTTCTGTTTTAATCTGTATACTTCATTATATTTGTGAAAAAGCAGTTGTCCCCTGTGCTCAAAGACTGTAGAGTACAATATAGTATGACCTAAAAACACGTTACATACCAAAGATGTGCAAACGTCCAATGAAACGGTCATATGCAAGTCATTTTATGAACACAATACATTACAAGCGCTTTTTGCTCATTTTAGGACATATTTTAAATGTTCTATTGCTGAAAGTATTTTTTTTAATTTTATCTAAAAAGTAAAATTCTTGCTCAACGTATGTCTGTACAAGATTTTAAGACTTTAGACCAATCAGAACAAAAGTGGCAGCAGTTTTTCTAACCCTAACCCCAGTCTTTTGACACAAATGGTGTCACAAACTCATTTCATTTTAGAAAAAGTGACCCAGAAACCAGTAAAAGAGAATTATTTCCTCTTCTTATTGTCTGAATCCTCCGTTCTGAGGAGAGCTTCTGTGTTTTTATTGCTTCTCCTGAGAACAATGAAGCGTCTGTTTTATGAGCAGGAATAATGTCTTCCTCAAGGTCACAGTATCTGCCTCAGTACAGTGACATTAAATCACACTGAGGGGAGATGCAAACAGCTGATCATACCTCTCTGTCAAACACTTCATGAATACAGACACATTCAGCCTGTCCTGGGAAAAGACTGATGTTCCAGAGCATTGTTCAGAATGAGGAATATCCACAGAGGAAAGAGCTTTTTTCTACCCTTTTCTGACCCTTAAGGTAGAATCTCCCTGGGATTTCTCTGTGTGATGTTGGATTATTGCAGGGAATAATCTCTGTGTCAAACAAACGTTTACGATACTTACAGGTTTTGTTCAGCAGAATGATCTCCACATATTAACACCACTTCATGTGTAAAAAGATAACGTTGGCTTTAAAGGAACCACAGCACTGTCACATGTCTTCATGTCACCACCGCTAAGCTAAAGGCGGCTAATGTTGGGCTATAAAGGAACTACAGCACGGTCACATGACTTCACGTCACCACCGCTAAGCTAAAGGCGGCTAATGTTGGGCTATAAAGGAACTACAGCACGGTCACATGACTTCACGTCACCACCGCTAAACTAAAGACGGCTAATGTTGTGCTATAAAGGAACTACAGCGCTAATGTTGGGCTATAAAGGAACTACAGCACGGTCACATGACTTCACGTCACCACCGCTAAACTAAAGGCGGCTAATGTTGTGCTATAAAGGAACTACAGCACGGTCACATGACTTCACATCACCACCGCTAAGCTAAAGGCGGCTAATGTTGTGCTATAAAGGAACTACAGCACGGTCACATGACTTCACATCACCACCGACATTAGCCGCCTTTAGCTTAGCGGTGGTGATGTGAAGTCATGTGACCGTNAGTTCAACTTGCAAATTAACTGATGAAATGTTGCCTTGAGATTATCTGTGTAACACAATGCAATTTCTGTTAACGCACGCACGTACGCACGCACGTACGCACGCACGTACGTACGCACACTCTCTCTCTCTCTCTCTCTCTCTCTCACACACACACACACACACACACACACACACACACACACACACACACACACACACACACACACACACACACACACACACACACACACACACACACACACACACACACACACACAAAGTTTGACTCGAAATTCACATACTTATATTTCTTGTTGATATATTTGACACCAATGTGACCCCTGTTTGTTAATTACAAGGTTAATATTGAAGCTACATTTAAGCTAATCGGCTGTGGAAAGCTGTGTACTGTGGTACATGTTTTCATTGTACAGACATGGGAGTTATTTAGTTAGTTATAAACGTTATCTTTGGCTTCAACCCAATTAACATTAATTACTAATATGTCAAAATGCAACAGTCTAAATACTTAAAGAAAATAGGTAAAGTGAGGGTGGTATTAACCTTCTCGTCTTATGCAAGAGAGCAAATGTGAAAAAGGGTATTTCTGAACATTTGAATTGATAATTTTTGCCACCACTCTCACCCCTGTACGATAAACAAACAAGGGTAATATTTAAGCTAATTAGCCGCGGTAGCTGTGTGTAATGTGGTTTTAAAGTACAGACATGAAAGTTAGTCGAAAATCCCAAACTTTCCTTGAATTTGACTAACTCAGATGATTCAGTACTTAACACTCTAAAGTTAAAAACATTATGGGATTTGTATCATAGCATGACCCCTTTGAACCCACTTCGAGATAATGATAAAGGAATGGGGCCTGTACTTAAAGGAGTATAATGTATCATGAGGCCGACAGCATAAATGATTCTCTTATATTACAAACACTCCAGGACAGTGATTATTCCTGCAGGCATGGATAATGTTGGAACATTTCTGAGGAAATAATAGGGCTATTAGAGCTCGTTACAATCAGGGTCAAATCTTGATGCAAATAAACACTAAGGGCTGTCTGCAGACACTTTAACATTTAACAAGGAGCATTACAGGTGCTAAACACTGTATTGTAACCCAGGAGATGCTGTTTGTGTCCCATGTAAAACCAGAGTAAACTCCTCAATGAGTTCCTGTACTGATCTAACGCCACTTCTGTATATATTTTGAAACGGGAAAGCCTATTGTGTACACAGAGTCTGCAGGAAAACAAATGACATCTTCTGATACTTAGGGGCTTCATGTAAAACCTTAAATATCATCCCTAACACATTTGTACCTGTTGGGGAAATATGTTCCAAGACCCATAACTTTGACCCAGTGTATCAGTTCATACTGTCCTGACTGAGCACAGGCACCTGTGACCTTGGCTGCTGTGCTCTCAGTGTTTTGTCTCCCTGTTCCTGCCTGTTGGCGTCAGCTGATAGAGGTGTTATGATTCTATCTTGTTATTCACAATGTTGATTATTCTCTCTGAACTAGCTAAATACACGGGTGTGGGGGAGAGTTCTTCAGAATTGACGTAGCAACTCAACCGTGAAGTCAGAACCTCTGACTCTTCGACTTGTTTTGTGAATTCTCCGGCCGAAGCACCAAATAAACCCGTCAGTGTTTGACATCAAAGCTCCTGCTCTCCATCGTGTCTCCTTTGAGTCGGTGAGTCCTCCTGCATTGCTACACAGAAGTTTCCCCCACAGTGCCCACATCCCTTCACCCTTTCATCCAACATCCCTTCAACCATTTACCCGATAAACCTTCCCTCCC